GTGATCCAGATACACGAGGCTTCTCTCCGTCTCATCATTCTCCATGCTCTCACACACCACAGGACCTTTCCACATCCCATCCCCTTAGCCTTGAATGATTTCCCTCTACTAGTTGTCTACGCACCTTTCAGATCTTTTTTTTTTTAAGACAGAGTTTCACTCTGTTGCCAGGTGCCAGGCTGGAGTGCAGTGGCACAATCTTGGCTCACTGCAACCTCTGCCTCCGGGGTTCAAGAATTCTCCTGCCTCAGTCTCCCGAGTAGCTGGGACTACAGACACACACAACCATGCCTAGCTAATTTTTGTATTTTTAGTAGAGATGGGGTTTCACCATGTTGGCCAGGATGGTCTCAATCTCTTGATCTTGTGATCCGCCCCCCTCGGCCTCCCAAAGTGCTGGGATTACAGGCTTGAGCCACCGTGCCCGGCCTCAGATCTTAAATGTCACATCCTCAATGACCCCTCTCCCCATCTCTCCCAAAGTTGAAATCATGTGTAAAGCACCATGATCACCTTCAGAGCACCTACTACACTTGCAATTTCACTTTTGTGTGATTTTAAAAAATCCATTTTTATTATTTTTATTATTATTTTTTTGAAACAGAGTCTGTCTCTGCCTCCCAGGCTGGAGTGCAATGGTGCACTCTTGGCTCACTGCAACCTCTGCCTCTTGGGCTTAAGCAATACTCCTGACTCAGCCTCCTGAATAGCTGGGACCACAGGCATATGCCACCACATCAGATAAAGTTTTGTATTTTGGGCAGAGATGGGGTTTTACCACTTTGCTCAGGCTGGTCTTGAACTCTTGGACTCAAGCAATGCATCTGCCTCAGCTTCCTAAAGAGCTGGGATTATAAGTGTGAGCCACCTCCAGTCTGTGATTTTTAAAATGCCTTCTACTTCCCCAGTAAGACTTCAGAGTACAGGAACCATCCCTGCTTGCTGCTTACTGTCGCCTAGCTCAGTGCTTAGTACATAGTAGGCACCCAATAACTATTTGAATGAATAGATGAATAAACAAATATGTGAAAGCACCTTATAGAGCACCATGCATGCAATCTTTCACCATTCAGCAAAAATTTACTCTTAGTTTGTCCTTGCTTTGAAATACAGTTTGATTGCCAAATAGTTAAAAGCAAAACTTAACTTTAGGAATTCACAACCCAATAACTCAAAACACATTTGTAACCATTTACATTCCTGGAGATAACTACGGATGCCTAAAATTTGCCCCCATTAAGAGATTTCTACATTAGAAAAGTCTTAATTTTCTAAACAGACAAGTGATAAGATTATTATTTTCTGAAAATATCCTAAAATCAGTCTGTTGTTTTACAAGTGTTTGTAATTGTTGACCAGGTAAACCTTGTGTGAATCCCTAAAAACCCAATGTCAGTATTGAAAATCAATCCACAGGCCACGTGGAAATGATTGTCACATTATAATTATTTTTGTGTTTTTATTTATCAAGATTTTTTTGAGACAGAGTCTCACTTTGTTGCCCAGGCTGGAGTGCAGTGGCATAATCATGGCTCTCTGCAGTCTCTACCTCCTGGGCTCAAGCTAGTGTCCCACCTTAGCCTGTGAAGTAGCTGGAACTACAAGTGCATGCCACCACACCCAGCTAATTAAAAAACATTTTTTTCTTAGAGATGGGGTCTCGCTAAACCAGAGATGGTTGCTCTAGCTGGTTTCAAACTCTTGGGCTCAAGCGACTCTCCTCCTTATCCACCCAGAGCACTGGGATTACAGGTGTGAGCTACTGTACCTGGCCCTATAATTAATAAAGATTTCACATAAACTTTCTAGTTTACTTGAAGTTTTTTATTTCTAAATCATTATCATCACATAATTTGTGAGTCCCCAGATCCTGGTGAGATAGCAGAAAAACTCTCGGCCTGGAATCAGAAACCTGTAAACCTACTTTACAAGGTTATTGTGAAGATTAAGTGGAGGTAATAATTTTGTCAAAAATAATCTCTCGTCTGTTAAACACATGCTTCATATCACAGATGGAACTAGCTGTGTTACATTTATTGTCAATTAATTCTTTAAAAAAAGACTGTGGGCCAGGCACAGTGGCTCATGCCTATAATTCCAGCATTTTGGAAGACTGAAGTGGGTGGATCTCCTGAGTTCAAGAGTTTGAGACCAGCCTGGGAAGCGTGGCAAAACCCCATCTCTACCAAAAATACAAAGACTTAGCAAGGCATGGTGGAGCACACCTGTGGTCCAAGCTACTTGGGAGGCTGAGGTGGGAGGATTGCTTGAGCATGGGTGGTGGAGGTTGCAGTGAGCCAAGATCATACCACTGTACACCAACCTGGGTGACAGAGTGAGACCTTTTCTCAGAAAGAAAAACATCTTATGAAATATGTATTATTACCCCTACTATACAGATGAACAAATTGAGGCTCTTGGAGATTGACAGTCTGGCCCAAGATTATACATCCCACCAAGCTGCAGGGCTAAGAAGCATGAAAATGGGCTCTAGCTAGGATGCATGTAGCTATAACTTCCTATAAAAATTAAGGTGTCTTTTTATAAAATATCTCTGAAATGACAGTTCCTATTAATATTCTTATATGTATCTCCCTCCTATGTATCCATATAGTCCCCATATCGGACATTGTAAATCAAACCAACTTAGAGGCAGGAGCCAGAAACTCATCTGATCTCAGCCAACAGATCATCCTGTGTGCAAATTGCTTCTCTGCCTCCTTGTTCATGTTTTCCCAGTTTCTTTTCTTTTTCTTTCTTGAAGACAGGATCTCTCTCTGTCGCCCAGGCAAGAGTGCAGTAGCGTGACCTAGGCTCACTGTAACCTCTGCCTTCCAGGCTAATTCTCATGCCTCAGTCTCCTGAGTAGCTTGGATTATATGTACACACCACCACTCCTGGCTATGCCATGTTGCCCAGGCTGGTCTTGAACTTTTAGGCTCTGGCGATCTGCCTGTTTTGGCCTCCCAAAGTGTTGGAGTTACAGGTGTGAGCCACCATGCCTGGCCCCCAGTTTCCATATTAGTAACTCACATGTAGACTACAAGGATGCACCATTTTGAAAACCTGCAATGGTCCGCTTTTCAAATCACCCAAATATGCTAAAGAAATCGGTGTGACTGTTGTCTCACAATGGGAGGCAGGGGCATGGGGTGGAATGTAAGATCAATGTCATGACAAATGTGGAAAAGAAACTGTTGCTGTTTTTCCAACTCCATGTGTTTCCTTCCATATTATTACACTCTCCTGGTAGAATGGTGTTTATATGTGAATTTTTTTCTTATGTAGACAGTAATTATAGGATATGAACCTGATTCCAGTTGCAAAATTTACTATGAGCTTCGCTTTTAAGTTGCTTATGAATAGGCAAATCTATGCAAATAATAATGACAATATTATTATTTTAAGACAGGGTCTCACTTTGTCACCCAGGCTGAAGTGCACTGGTGTGATCAAGGTTCTCTGCAACCTTCACCTCCCAGGCTCAAACAAACCTCCCACCTCAGCCTCCCAAGTAGCTGGGACCACAGGCACATGCCACCACACCTGGCTAATTTTTTGTATTTTTTGTAGAGATGGGGTTTCATCATGTTGCCCAAGCTGGTCTTGAACTCCTGGGATCAAGCAATCCACCCACCTTGGCCTCCCAAAATGCTGGGATTATAGGCATGACCTAGCACGCCTGGCCTGATCTCTGCAAATTCGATATGCATTTCAGAACAATTTTTATTTGTCCCTTTATTGGTAGTGCAGTCTCAAGGCGAAAAATCTAAGGGTTTTTGTCTTATTTGCTTACTCAACAAGTATATATTGGACTCTTACTAAGCACCAAGCATGGTCACATGCATGAGCTGTGGCTAGCACAGCGTATAAGACAAACTTGATCTCAATTTTCAAGGAGTGTATAATCTAGTAGATGAAGCCAATGTTGAACAATGTCACAATACTAACAAATGGGTGAGACAGTCTAACAAATTGAGGATGCTATGAGAGTGTGCCATGGGGACTTGCAGCCTGGAGATTGAGAGAAAGCTTCCTTGAGGGAAGTTGCGTTTCAGCTGAGACAGACTGCCATCTGCTCGAGGTTTTGTAACTGCATTCACATCCCTACTTGGACACTTCACCCAATTACTGTCTCCGAGCTTGGGTGTAAAACAAGGACAATATGCACTTGGCAGGGGTTGTGAGAAGGGGAGAGAACACAGGTAAAGCACACTTAGGCATACAGTAAGCACTGAGTGCGTGATGGTCCTTATGATTATTCATCATTGTAAGCACCAAGTGAAAGCTGAAGAAAAGTCTGACCAACAGCCCAAGATAAATGCACAGTAGGGAAATTTGGCAAAGGCTCCGCATTCGGGGGCAGTCCGTACTTTACACTTTGTATGCGGGCTTCAGGTCCTGAGTTCCAGACATTGGAGCAACTAACACTTTAAGATTGCTAAATATTGCCTTCATGAGAAGTGGATAAAGAATTTTGGGAGGTTGATTTCTTTCTAGATGCAGTTTAGCGTATGACGAGGTCATATTTTTTCAGGCAAAAGTAAAAGACCTGAGAAACTACCTGGCAAGAGGACAATCAGATTTTGGCTGGCTCAAGTGACAAGCAAGTGTTTATAACCTAGATGGAAGGGGAAGGGATGAATGCTCCATTGGAGGTTTTACTCGAGGGTCAGAAAGAGACCCGGCGCCACCAGAATGAGACCTGGAAGTGGGAAACGCTGGGTTCCCACGAGCGCGCGCAGGACACGTGCGTCAGGAAGCTGGGTCCGGGGTCCGGGTGCCCAGCGCTGCTCCCCTGGCGCTCCTCCCCAGGCCCCCCGGGAGCTTGGATCCCGGCCATCTCCGCACCCTTCAAGTGGGTGTGGGTGATTTCGTAAGTGACGTGACCGCCACCGAGGGGAAAGCAAGCAAGGAAATGGGAGTGAGCGGGGCAGGCGGGGCGGAGTTGGATCGGGAGCAGTGTGAGGGATGCAAAAGAGGAGTGGGAGGGATGGAGGGCGCAGTGGGAGGGGTGAGGAGGCGGAACGGGGCGGAGGAAAGGAGAAAAAGGCGCTAGGGCCCCGCGGGAGGAAGTGCGGGAGCTCTCGACTCTCCGCTGCGCGGCCCCTGGCGGGGGGAGCAGCCAGGTGAGCCAAAGATGCTGCTGCGCTCGAAGCCTGCGCTGCCGCAACTGCTGCTGCTGCTCCTGGGGCCGCTGGGTCCCCTCTCCCCGGGCGCTCTGCCCGGACCTGCGCAAGCACAGGACGCCGTGGACCTGGACTTCTTCACCCAGCAGCCGCTCCACCTGGTGAGCCCCTCGTTCCTGTCCATCACCATCGACGCCAACCTGGCTACGGACCCGCGGTTCCTCGTCTTCCTGGGGTGAGCGCCAGCCTCCTGGTCCTGTCCCCTCTCCGATCCTCCTGATACCTATGTCTGCCCTGCCAGCCACTCTCCTTCTTTTGCGCGGAAACAACTTCACACCGGAACCTCCCCGCCTGCCTCGCCCCACCCCACTTCCCGCCTCTCATTCTCCCTTTCCTTCCCTTACTCTCTGACCCCAACACGCCTTTTTGGGTATCATTTTTAAAAAATAGATTTAGGGGTTACAAGTGCAGTTCTGTTACATGGGTATATTGCATTGTGGTGACATCTGGGCTCTTAGTGTAACTGTTCCCGAATCGCGTACTGTATCTAATAGGTAATTTCTCATCCCTCATCCCTCTCCCACCTCCCACCTTTTGGAGTCTCCAGTGTCTACTATTCCACTAAGTCCTTGTGTACACATTGCTTAGCGCCCATTCTAAATGAGCCTTTTTATTTCTTTCATTCTGTGTTGATTAAGCACCAGGTAACGTCAAGTATAAGTGGAAATTTGAAAAAGAAACTGCCTACTTGCCCCAGTACATTCCTCCCACGAGGAGGAGAGCCCGGCAGGTGCACGTGGAGGCCTGACAGTGCTCGAATTGCTGTGCAGTGTAGGACAAGTAAGAGTGTGCCTAGGCTTCCATCTTTTAAACTCTGTTAGGAAGATTTCTTTTTCTTTTCTTTTCTTGGGGTGGGGGGAGCAGATGAAAAGCGCTTCATAGAACAATAATAAATGAGACCGAGGGGACTACTGCAGTGACTTACAAAGTCCTAATAAAAAGATGTCTCTCCAAAATGGGGCTGCAAAATGTGGTGCTGCCTTATCAGCTCTAAGTTTTTTTTCTTACCTGAGAAAGAAGGATCCTGATGCAAGTTCAGAGCTCCTGCCCCATGAATGCAGGCTGACCCCAAGATGGGGAGCTACAGGGACAGTCTCAGGCCTTCTAGACTTCTTACATAGTCCCTTTATATAGGCCCTGGGAGCCTCCAGTGATGGCCACATCTTGACCAGCCAAAATAGAGGGAAAGATCACCATGTGTCAAATACTTAGCCGCTGTCCTCCCTGAACCCACACTATAGTTGCCAGCGCCAATTTCATGGGTAGTGTACTGGTTAAGAGATGGACAGACCATCCTGGCTTGACTCTCAGCTCTGGCAAAGATGAGTGACTCGGTTTTTCCATGTCTCTTGGCCACCATTTCTTCAGCTGTAGAATGGAATTTCTCAAGCTTGCCTCAAGGATTACTGCCTGAGGATTTGATGATTTGTTAAGAGCTTCACAGTGTTTGACCCATAATAAGTGTTTGATGCTTAAAGGAATTGTTTCTTCCTAGGACATGGTGAGCATTTGGTAGTCATTCACCGGCTTTCTGTTTCTTTAGATCATAGTTAACCTCTCCTTTCCCTTGTGGCACTAGAATTTTCTGGCGAGAAGGAACCCTTACGTTTTGCCCTTCCCCTTAAGGACAGGAAGCTGATACTAGGCAGCAACTAGTTTGGGAATAGGAAGATTACTCCAGAGAAATGCTGAACCACAGAGCTCCAGATCTCAGGACCCCAGTATTCACTTGCTGGAGTTGAGGGGGGAGCTTACTAAAAATGAGGATGAAGTCGATGTCCATTTGCTGAAACGTGAGGACTCGAGGTCTCTTCTGCTGCAGCCAGCATATTCCCCCACCTGTCCCCTAGAAAGAACAGATGGGGGTTCCCCCCTAGAGTGGCAGGCCCAAAAGAAAAAACATAGAGTATGACTTTCAGGGTCTGGGCCCGATCAGCCATCAGTCAAGCTCCCCGCAATTGACTAACACCCCCCAACACATAGAACTTCCAATCTGCAGTTTAGTGAGGATGATACCTTCGTTCTTCTTAAATACATCTTTTAGTTTCCCAGAGCACCCTTCCCCCACCCCTTGCACCTTTCTGTTAAAGACTTGAGTATAATGAAATACCAAGAGAGCATAACATGTGATAGATAAAACTTTTTTTCTGGTTTACAAAACAGTTTATTCCTGTCCATACGTGCTTCTCTCCAAGGCTAGCTGCTGTCTGTCCCAGCCCCCTTCCCTGGAGAGGCCATCTGCCATACCTGCTTCCCAGAAGCATCAACAAGCACACCCAGAATGTTCTCTGCTAAGGCCTAAAAAAGGCAGAAACCCCTTCTCCTCATCTAAGACCTAGCTTCAAAATTAGAGTCTGAGGGTTCATCTCCCCAGGAGGGTATAGGGCCCAAGCAGCCCAACCATCTCAGAAGACAGCACTAAGCTTTCTATGGGCCCACAGTAGAGGAGGATAGGACGCCTGTTGTTTATTTATTACAGTTCCTCAAAAGTGAAGATGTGTGGGCGGGATGGCGAGAGCTGAGCAGACCAAAAGCTGAAGGAATAAGGAGAGAGAGGCGGACACAAACAGTGAACACTTCCTGAGTTCTTGTCATTTGCCTGGTCCTGTTCTAAGCACCTTCTAGGTGTTAATCCATTTAGCCTGGGCTACAACACTATGAGGTGACTACTTTTATCATCCCCATTTTAAAATGGAAGAAATTGAAGCTCAGGGAGATTAAGTAACTTGGCCACAGTTTGAAACTAAACTCTGATCACATGAGACAATAGTACCCATAAAAAGGGAAAGCAGTATATATATATATACATACTCTATCACCCAGGCTGGAGTGCAGTGGCAAGATCTCAGCTCAGTGCAACCTCTGCCACCCTGTAAAAAATATTATTTTTTACAGACTGCCACCCGGGTTCAAGCGATTCTCCTGCCTCAGCCTCTGAGAGTAGCTGGGATTACAGGAGCCTGCCACTGTGCCCAGCTAATTTTTGTAGTTTTTAGTACAGACAGGATTTCACCATCTTGGATAGGCTGGTCTTGAACTCCTGATCCACCCACCGTGGCCTCCCAAAGTGCTGGGATTACAGGTGTGAACCACTGTGCCTGGCCCAGCAGTTATTATTTTTTACAGGAAAGAGAGTGGGATATGGTAGAAGAAGACTGTTTGGAAAGGAATTGAAAGATTGATATAATGAAAAGAAGCATTGACATGAGAGTAACAGTATCAGGATCCAAACCTTCATTTAAGGTACTTCAAAGAGGCTTAAGCAAACTTAATTATATGGCGTGGTTCTGGTCTCCACGATGGCAAATACATATTTTTTTCACGTTTGCAACCAGAGAAGATAAAGTACACAAAACTTAAATAATAGTGGTAGAGCAATCTAAAATTTAAAAAAAAAAATCTTTCAATTTGTCCTCTTCCCAAAGGGACTTAATCAAGAAACCAATCAAAATACTTCTGAAGCCCAACTGTGTACAGAATTCCAAAGACAGCCTGGCCCTAAACCAACACCATCCAACAGAAGTAGAATGTGGGTCTCATATGCAAAGTCATATGTAATTTTAAATTTTCTAGTATTAAATTGTAACTTTTCTAGTATTAAAAAGGTAAAATTAAATTTTCTAGTATAAATTGTAAATTTTCTAGTATTAAAAAGGTAAAAAGAAACAACTGAAATTAATTTTAATAATTTTATTTAGTTCAATATATCCAAAATGTTTTCTCAGCATGTAATCAATATAATATATTAATGAGATATTTATTATTTCCAAGTCTATATAATCTGGCATGTATACTTACAGTACTTGTCAGACTATATTTCTCCTTTTTTTTTCTGAGACCGTTTCACTCTTGTTGCCCAGCCTGGAGTGCAATGATGTTACCTCGGCGCACTGCAACCTCCGTCTCCCGGGTTCAAGTTATTCTCTTGCCTCAGCCTCCCAAGTAGCTGGAATTAGAGACATGTGCCACTACGCCTGGCTAATTGTGTATTTTTAATGGAGACAGGGTTTCACCATGTTGGCCAGGCTAGTCTCGAATTCCTGACCTCAGGTGATCTGCCCGCCTCGACCTCCCAAATTGTTGGGATTACAGGTGTAAGCCATTGTGCCTGGTCTCAGTCTAACTATATTTCAAGCACTCAGTAGACACATGTAGCTAGTGCTATGGTAGTGGACAGGACAGATCTGCATTTCAGTGAAGACACATGCACAAGCGTAACAAAGAGTATAGTGCTGAGTCTGTGGTAGAAATCCTAAGTACCGTAGAGCAAAAGTGGTACAAACAGCAATCTCAGTGATAATGCAACCCTGCTTGCTTTTCATCGCAATTTGCTTATTTTCCTTCAGCAAAGTTTATCTGTTTTTGCCGATTTGATAAATATTTACTCATAATAACTTTCGATATTAGATTCTTGCATCTTCATAGACAGAGTTGCTTTTCACATTTGGAAAATTACTTATCAACGTTAAACACATGGTTTGATAACCAGTGTTGGAAAGAGGCACAGACTCCCCGCGCCCCCGCCATGTGCCTACTGATGGCAGAAATGTCCATGGCCAAAGGGAAACAAAGAGCTGGGGACAATCACGCCCCTCATGTCTCCTAACCCCTGGAAAGTGCTGTCCTTCTTACTGAGCTCTTATTGTTCCCTTCCCCACTAACCCTGGGGTATAGTCGATAGGGTTAGTGGGGAAAGGAACAATAAGAGCTTTTTGTGAGGTAACCCTATTCGAGCCTTCTCACATATCTCCTCTACCTCCTTGTCCAAGCTATGACTTGGCTCTTCTCTGAAGACACCGTCTTCCCTGAAGCCCTTTTGAGTAGCCGCGGCACACTCTCCCATAGTCCAGTTCTTTTCCTGTTGTCCAGTGCGGCTTCTGGACAATAGCCCACTAATTTGAACTCCATACTGCTGTAGTTCAAATCCCTTTTGACTTGTTACTTTGGGCAAATTACCTGCTTTTGTTCAGGTTCCTTGTTTAAAATGATGATAATAATGCCACTTGCTTCACTGGGTTGTTTTGAGATGAAGTGAAAGAAGGTAGGTAGCTTTGCTTGCCTAAACACTCAGTTTGGACTAGCCTGATGTGAATTACGGATGATGCCATGACGCCGGTGTGTCGTTCCTCATCTCCACATCAGGCTCTCATCCAGCGCTCCTGCTCACTGCACCCT